CTCAGTAATTTAGCAAACACTTCCTGTAGCTGCCTATCAGCAGTCTTCCTTCACACAAAAGATGCAGAGAAGAATGATATGACATAACATTAGTATAATCAGCTTCTAGAAACACAAATAAATGTGCACGCATGAAAGTATGCAACTTGAGCTGAATGTCGTTAGCACATCTCATGAGAGCTGATTAAAGAAGCCATTACAATAAAGCAACGTTCAGTGAAATAGAGTTGAACTAACACAATGATCACAGCTCAAAGCACTTGATGTACATCAACTTGCGTTACAATGTGATGACATTCAAATTCTCAACAGCCTATACTTGACAGCAGTGAGATTTTCAGGCATCACTTAATAATACAGCATGCTAATAAAATATTTGAAGAACTTCAATTTTTTCCTAACTTAAAATCAGTAACAGGAAATACAGAAATGAATCTTAGTGAATATCTGAAAAAGCTTTGTAGATTAGACCATTAAAAGATTATATTCCACTTGATTGATATACATATGCATAAATTGTTTCTGCAAGAGCACTCATTAATACAATCACATCAACCTAACAAGTTTGTGTACAGATAGAAATTTCAAATATAGGCTTAAATCACAAATTAAGCACACACACAAAGGCATGACTCTTCATTAAGCAACAAAAGCCTAGCACGGCAGGATGTTTTGAGCACCCCCTAAATTCTCCAACCACCAGAAATCTGCATTAAATGTAATATTCTGACTTTTTGTGAAATGCTGCTTTTGCATCTAGTGTGCCAGTACATAATTGTAAAGCTACTTCTCCATATTCTCTGACAGATCCTGCTGTGCGCTGTCTCTCCTGGATTACATAGCCTGCAGAATGCAGATCAAGGACACGACTGATGATCCTTCTGTAATTACCAGCTCCCTAATGCTGCCAACACGAGTTCTATACAAAGAGCAAAGTAGTGCCCTTTTATGAGCTCTTACAATCTCTTATGCAGGCAGCAATCACAAGCCATTAGAGGGAAAATAATAATATAATTTATTTGTACTTTTGTGAAGAAACGGAAAGATATTACTCAGTTCATTTCAAAACTGGTGATGTCTACAAACAATCCTCCTTATATATCCAACACATTCTTACACAAGTTCCCCCAAAGAGATTCATCAACTCTAACAGCAGATTTAGGCTTAGCCTAAAAATTAATGCACTTAAGGGGGAAGAAGAAAAAAAAAAAAAAAAAAAAAGGTAAGAGGCAGGCAATTTTGCAGACCTTTCTGAATACAGACCACAGAAAGTTTATTTCTGCTTCACCACACTCTATCATTAAGATTGGAAACAACAGATTCCAGAGAACTCTGTATTTCAAAAATGAAGCCTGTGTTTGTTTGCATGGTAGTTGACTTGCACAGTTCATTTATAACAATCAGTAGCAAAGCTGCTGCAAGTGAACAACCTTTGAATCCAGATTATGTAGAATATTAATTTCAGCAATAATAGGGTACTTGCAAACTCACATGTAAATAGACTAATGTATTATACATGTCACATTCTGCTGTGAGAGGTTAAAGGACTTTGAAGCCTTACAAGACAAAACCATAAATGTGTGCATTGCATTATCAAGAGGGAAAACAAAGACTGAATTTCTAAGACACACAAACTAAAGACCAGCCCAGAGAAACATGGGGGGAAAGTGGATAGCTTACACTGTAAAGCCATTCTTTGAAAGCAAACAAACTGTATATGGATTATTTAAACTTTTAGAAAAAAAAAATCACAAAAGTATCTGCAATGTAATACTGCAACCCTCAGATTACTAACATGTACTGAAACTAAGTTGCCTCCTCTTACAGATAAAGGTAACTGAAGAAATACATATACTGCTGGTTTAATCTACGAATACATCTAAAGGGATAACACACTAGTTTCAAATAACTGCTCTCAGGCAACTTTAAAAAAGAAAAAAAAAATCCCCAAACAAAACAAACCACCCCCCAACCCTTTTTGGCACCCTCAGTTGCTGATGCATTTTCAACAGTTTCTAACAGTTTCCACTCTCAGTCTTTCGGCCCAAGCTGAATTCTGCCATTGAACAGTCTACAATTAAACAGGAAAAAAACAAACCAGTCACCTCTTCATGCATATAAGCAGACAAAGCTTTGTGTATAAGAGAATTCATCCCTGTTCTTTTATAATCCATGTTGTGGAGGTAAACTATGCTAAGGGACAATGACTCATTTTGAATGAATAGTTATGAAGTTACGAGGATCTGTTTATGATTTTAACTGTACACAGTTAAGATTTTTCTGGTAAGGGCAACTGGAAATTTGTGTAGAAAAAGGTAAGAAGATACAAAGCTAAGTAAGTTCTGGGAAATGAAAACTGAAGATTTCACGCATCAAAATTTTAGTTACAAGGATGAGCTTAATAATAAGTCAGCATCTTAAACCTACAGCTGAGAGACTGGACCAAATAGCATAAGATAAAGTTCCTTTAATTTTAATAAGGGAATTATGAAAGTAACTAGAGGCCTCAGAGTCTTTTAAACTTTACAAACATCACCACAAAAAAGTAACCAAGCAATACAGATGTTCATCTCTATATGATCCAAACAGTGCATATGCAACAGTGCTTGTGGAAAAACTGAGACAGACATGGGGAACAAGCCAGGATGTCCTGTCTGGCTTCAAGCTGCTGCTCCAGAAGGATGCGGATCTTCTGTGCATCTAGTGTTATAACTGCCAGTCCCATGCAGATGTCAAAGGGTATGGCAGAAGATCCAAAGTGGCATCAAATCCCTATGTGCTAACACCTGAACGTCACCTAAAGATAAGCAATCTGATTTATGACAAACTCCTGAAAACACAATGCAATTTAACCATTCATACATGTACTTGAACACCTGAAAGTCACTATTTTCATGCAGTTAAAGGCTATGAATGTGGGCATCATAACTACAAATATGGCAGGGTATGAACTGTTTGTACAACCATAAGTACATATATTCATTGCAAACAGTAGTGAACACACCAAGTGAAGAATGACTTGATACCAAATCATGGACATTGGAACCAGCTGTATCTTTTTCTTCTGATACTGGACTCCCATTCTTTGGTCAGTCTCTCTCTTATGTTGGTGCAGTAAACGTTCCTATTTTTATTTCCTTCTGTTTTCCCTCCCAGAGGTGGTGACCCAAGAAATTCCTTAGGTAACTCAGCTGCCTATTTTATAGCAAGGTACAGATTTTTGAGGAAATGGAAGTCAAAAATAACAGTATTTCAAAACACTCCCTTCTCTTCTACCTCAGAAATCAACAACTTAAATATGGCTGCCACCAAATATTTTTATAACAGCGTATCTAGAAAGACACATAATGCAGTGTATTTAAACATACTTCTCCCCTCTCCACGGCTCAGGGCAGCTAGCTTAATAAAGGAAATTCCAGATACTTTTTAGGTTTGAAAACATGTAAAAGCACAAAAGGCAGCTGACTGACCATTCACGCTCCACAAAGGATACAGTACTTACCTTTAGAGAACATACTTTATTTAATATAAGTTTTTTGCTCCAATATACAAAATAGGGGACTGTAGTCCCAATTAACATTTACATAGTTACACAGCAAATAATTTCCACCATTTACAACAACTGACAACTTTCCCATGCTCCCCACTGTATTACAGCCAAGAAAAAAATCCTATAATGTTTTACACACCAATCAGTTACATTTTGTACTTCCTTGCCTCTTTTCTTTTTTTTTAAGTTGCAGTTTCTGATATCAGTTTAATTAAGAACTTAACAATTATTTCAGCTGCACTAAAAGAAAAAAATGAAATCTATAATTTGGAATACTATCTCAAAAACCCTATACAAAATAAAAGTCAGTATCTTATAAAAATACATTGCAGGAGTAAAACCAGGGATACAACAAAAATGTTTTAAATGTTGTTAGGGTATAAAATATTCAGTAACTAGCCTCAGCTTTCAACTACACACACAAAAAAAAAGAAAAAAAAGACTAAATATTTTCAATTAGTAAAAAGTAATGTGCCAGTTCTTTTACAATACTGTACCTTTAGTATGCAAAGGACTTCATCCTTCTAACATGCACCATTATTCAACTGATTCACCCCTTAACCCTTTTCCCACTGAAAGCTGAAAAAAGGTTGTAAAATTATTTAAATCCTTTAAGAAAAATCCAATCATATTTTCTGCATCTCCCACAATATTTAAGCTTTACTTTACAATGCTGGTAGTTTAATCAAGATACATAATTTTTTATAAAAGAATTGTAGCCAAACCAAGGCTTTAGAAACTTTGCATTTTACAAAAGCAATTTATTACAGTATGACAGTTGCTAAATAGCCCAATTTATTTAGTGACCCTGTTAAAGATTTGTTCAACTGAGTGAATAGGTGAAGTCATTTCCTGAGCTAAAAGATACAGGTAAGTAAATAGTCAGTTATAGCAGCAGACAGGAGACATTCTTTTTAAAAGTTGTAACAGTATCAATAAAATAACCTTAGAAAATTACAATAATGTGAAAATCACTAGCTGAAGAGGGAGTGACAAGGACATCCAAGACCTGATTGCCATAATCTGGAATGCACATTCCATGACTTTTCAGAAATTACATTCAGCTACTGTCAAACAACATACTGGTAACAAGAAGAATGTCAAATCACAATAGTTCACATTTCCTACAGATCAGGTGTTTTGTCAAGATTTAATTCTTAATGCTGTTCCATAAAACCAAATCACGGTAAACTGCCTAGTTTCAGAAATTTTCACCCTACAAGACTTAAGTACTATTACTTTTAAAGGAATGTGGTATCTTCAGTCTCATTAAATTCCAAGCCTATTTTTTTTTATTACTCAGACACACTTTTATACTTGAGACCTTGAGTGGTTTTTAAGATAATCACTCATGCCATTGGGAACAGAAGTGGATCAGTTTTTAGGAGAGGCAATCATATTCTGAAAATGGTTTACTTTGATCCAATTCATTCTAATTTGCTTAGAGTATAAAACATTAACAAATTATTAAAGAACTATAAAGACCAGAATACCACCACTGCATCATCATTTTCTTATGACATGCATTCTTAAAGTCTTCTATTTAAGAGCTTGATCACCTTTTTTTCTCTCATTAATGGAAAGAGGTTATTTTAATTTAATCAAATAAAGTACCTCACTTAGATACCAGTTCCTCCAGAAGGAAATCTCTCTTCTGTGTCATTTATTTTTACAGACATCGTAGGCATTGTTTTCAGAATTTATATTGGCTCTTCTTTAACATTTAAACATACTTAGTTTTAATTCAAAGTAATATATAAAATTTCCAATACTTTTTAGAATAAAGGACAATACACAAGATCCTAAGTAACAATAATTTATAAATAAAAATAAACTATTACAAACCAAATCTTTCCCCATACGGAGATTAAAAGCCATAATCTTGACTGATTGTTCCCGATCATACATTATAAATAATGTAAGCTTCTTCAGAGAAGCAAAACTTACTTGCCTCCCTGACACCAGTTTACATCTTCAGTTAAACTTCTACCATCAAGAAGGCAATTGTGTTGGGCCCATATAAATCTTCTTGCTTACATGTTAACCCTCCCAACCTTGTTCTTTTAAACTTAAGCACAGGAAACTAAGTTCACAAAGAGTCCTTTACCTTTTATACACAAAGCCTGTATAAAATAAAGATTTCTAATGCTCCTATTGCACCAGTCTGGCAGTGCAGTTAGAACCTGATTCAAATTCCACTGAAGTCCACGAAAGGTTCTCCAGTGACCTTAATGGGCTTTGAATTAGGACCACAGAGATAGTATTACCTAAAAGAAAGCTCCTGCAAGAGTGGCTGGTATCTCTCTTTTTGCTTATGGGATGCAGTGGAGATGTGTAGTCAGCGTGATACCTGAGCAAATAAAATGAAAATGATACAAAGGTTTTAAGAATCTCAAACTCTTTGCTCAGTTGTGTGCAAACTGTGCTACTGCCCCTGGAGCTCCCTGCTTTCCTTTTTTTCAGTGCTTGCTCCATTCCAAGATAGAGAAGATGCGAGGCATAAAAATCTCTCTTCACTACAGTTCCCCCTCAATCCCGAGACTGATAGAAGAGGATGTAACCAGACTCAGAGTTCTTTGAGATGTCTGATGTCAACCCGTAGAATTCTTCAATAGCTTGTGCATCAATTTTCTGCATGTAAAGACCCAAAATTTTAAAGTAAGAATATCTTGTGTAACATACACATAGCATTAAGTTCCACTCTAAAAACCACTGTCAAACAAAAATAACTTTAATATAATTACATAAAGTAATAAAATAAAAATAATTTTTAAACTTGTTACGTTTTGGTTTCCCCTCTGCCATCAACTGCACAGAGGGCTGCAGATATATATATTTTATATATAAATTTTTAAGTACTAAGTGAACCTACTATGACTGCAACCTTATGTGCATTGCTTACATGAATTTCACACAGAAAAGTTTTTAAGTTTGAGACTTTAAATTCAATATGAAGAATGTAAGTACAGACAATAATTTCTAAACCTAAGCAGTGTAAGCCAATTAGGAGCAGAGGAAAATAAGGAGAAGGCAGAGAATGAAGGATAACTTCTTCTATGTTTTTCCACACACAATGTTTGCCTGTGATCCTGTTAGATTGGAAAGCCTCCTTACAACCAAGATTTTAGTGGAAAAATGCAAAACTTCTGCTAAGAAGATTAAAAGAGTATTGTCTGGTTTCCATTGTCATAATTTTCAGCTAGAAAAAAAACTGAAAGCAAGCTCTCTTGCCACATTTTAAATCAGGGACAATTAGGCTACAAACAACAAAAAGGTGGAAATACAAATTTTCCTTCAGTTAGGCAGATTTATTTAACCTCATTCCCATTACTTGGAATAAAACCCCTCTCAGGAAGGAGTGAGCCATTCCAACTTGATGAACCAGGGGTCTAAGTGTCAATGAAATGTTTTAGATCTAAGAACAAAAAGATTCTTTCCTTCCTCTTTAGAAAGGCTAAGAGAAAAAAAAATACATTACTGCCAGGTGTTACTGCTTTGGAACTGGAGAGATTGGCCCTGATGTTTGTGAAATGATATGAGGTCTACTACATTCTGTTTTCCCTGGAGGAAAGTGAACTTTTGACCCTATTGAGACATTTCAATTTACTGTATATCTTGATAAGACACAGAGGCAATCCTTTCAGTTTTCCAACAGCTCTGCATACTTCCATGTTTTGTCATTTCCTGTCTGAAAAACTGTCCATAATGTGGCTTGTAGAGAAGAACTCTTCAATACCCTTGACTCATCTTGCCAATTAACAACGTAAGTTCAATACCTCACTCATTTTTCTTCTTTTCAATTATCTAGTTCTTGTCTATTGTAAGGAAAATGTAAACTATTCATTTAACAGATTTAATTAATTCCAATAAAGTCAGGAAAAGGATTTGGACAGCACAATCATACTTCTGTTCACACATGAGCATAGACAAGGGGGGAAAAAGCACGGTGACAGAACAGGCAAAAAACCTGAGATGATGTAAGGACACCAGCAGTTTCTGCTCTTAATAAAGAATAAAAGACAACTGATGAAACAGAAAGATGACAAAGTCAAAACTGGTGAAGGGAATTCTGCTGTTGCAAGAAATTAGTTAGAAACTTTTTAAAAAAAAAAAAAACAAAAAACCCCCAAACAAACAACAAACCCATAAGAATTCCTGGAAGTATGGCTAATATTAGCAAGAATACTACCACAGGTAAAAAGCTCCTGTTTCAGGGATTAACTTTTAAATTTTAGGGTGAAATCTCAAAAATATGAAATTTCTTCCTGTTTTGATATTTGTTACACCTTTGTCTGAAACAATCCATGATACTCAATAAAACAGACTACCAGATTGATCCATTCCATTAAATCATAAGGTCCTAGAAAATATGAACAAGCAGCTTGCTTCAAAAAATTGCCCTCAGAAGAGAACTGCAGTAAAACCAATTTACCTATATCTTCATTTGTCATGACTTCTGGCCACAGGAATAGCTTATTAAACAAAGGTGAAAGACAGAGGCCATAAATAAAGAAGCTTCTTTTATGAAGTAGGAAAACCAAAATGCAATTCAAAGTCTTGTACAGTTAAATTGTTAGGCACAGCTCTGCACTCAAAGTAATTGCTCATTTAGACTGGGATTGAACCTTCTTTTCATTAGCATACCAGTCCTTTTACCTTAAGTAATCATAAATACAAGGTGGGGTGCATGTGCTCTGGTTGGCATGAGAAAAAAGTGCAAGGTTACACAAAGCTTACCTCAACAATATCATCATCAAAAAGCAACCAAAAATCATGACTCTTCACTATTGCAATATAATGTCCTCTGTTGGGGCCACTGTAAAATAAAATTAGAAAAGAACACAGACAATAGCACACAAGTATGTACAAATGTATTTCATTAATATTTCTTTTTCTTGTATGTGGTGGTTTGTTTAATTACTTAACAGTAATTAAAACGGCTACCAGTACAAGTTCTGTTTGGGTATTTCTTTTCTTCCCCTCTGCCACTTATCTTCATAACAAGTCCTTACTTATCTTTATATTTAATATTACGCTAAAAAAAGGATGAGGAACAAGAAGCACAGGCACTGAAAATATAATTGAAATTTTTAGAAAAAGAGAGATAGAGAAGTGAAATCAAGAAAACATTCTGACAACCCCATTCTGATGATTCTGAACAGATCCCAAACTATTTCTGATCTTCAGAAAGAAAAAGCTGTAGAGCTGCTGTTCGTTAACAGTTCCAATCAGGAATCTATTTATCTGGTCCACCGTAAACAAAAAACTGAATTAAACTGACAGTTTAGAAGAATTCTCACAGCAATGAGAAGGGCCCTCAACTAAATTAAAACGGTTATAATGCACAGCTCTTCAGTTTATGGCAGATAAGAAATTTCTCCAGTTATGACAGAAAAAAAAAAAACCTTCTACACATGCCCTATTTCTAATCAGATTTCAAGTAAATAAATAATACACTTTCTGAAACAGCTGAACTTTACAATTGAAAGTGGACAACTAGTTTAAGCAGTACTGGAACTGTCTTAAGTGGCTAAAAGCACTCATACAATTTTTATGTCTAGATCAGGGAGGGAAGGTTGTCATCTGTGATGAACATGTCTGTATACCAAATCACATAAGCCAATGAAAATAGAGTTTATCTCCTTCCATGGCTCTGAGAATGGGTAAGTTTCCAAGACTGCAGCTTGAATGAAGGACAAAGAAATGGACAGAACTGGACAGAATGGTCAGAAATGGTCAGGTTCTATTTTCCCTAAAATCTAGAGCAAGAGTGTCCCAGAAGACTATGGTACAAAGGCTTATTTTCCAAAACTGTCCTGGTCAACTTGAGATCTAGTAATATTATCTCTGATCCTAGGTCTGTCTGGGGAGGAATGGGAGTGAGCATGGAACCAAGGGCAGTAACTGGCAACTAGAGGGTAGGTCTGCCGTATTGAGGGACTTCAAAAAGTTGGAAGAATGGCTTGATAAGAACCTCATGAAGCTTAACAAGTAAAAACGCAAACTCTTGTGCCAGGCGAACTCCATTCAACAGCACCAGCTGCAAACCAACTGGCTAGGTGGGCCCAGGAGGTCAACAAGATGAGCTGTTACCCAGCAGCACGTTATTTTGGTGACAGGGCTGAGCGTATGCAGGGCTGTACTGTAAGAGCAGTGCCAGCAGCGAGGTGATAATCCCTGCCACTTTGCATTCTGGGACCCAGAACTGGACACAGGATTCCAGACAGGACCGTGTCAGTTTGAGAGACTGATAAACTGGAGGAAGTCCAGTGGCCGGCCACTACATTTGTCAGAGTGTTACACCACCAGATGGTTGAAGAGAGTCTGAGGGAGCTGGCTTTATTCAGCCTGGAGAAGATTAAATGAGGAATCCAACAGCTGTCTTCCACTACCCAAAACAGCAAAGTTATAAAGAAATCAGGGCCAGGCTCTTCTCAGAAATGCAAAGTGAAAAGACAAGAGACAGTGGTCACAAACTGCAGCAACAGAAATTCTGACTGGTTTCGGGGGGGGGGAAGGGGTGTGTGTGGAAATCACCGTGGGAACATTGATGGACTAGAACAAATTGCCCAAAGAGGCAATGAAATCAGCAGTCCTAGTCATGAAACTGAACCCAGTGCAACCTAAACTACCATCCAAGTTAGCCCTGCTTTGAGCTTTAAGAGGTTGACCTCACAACATAAATTATTCTTTGATTCTAGATGTTAAATCATAATTTTCCACTTTGGGAGTTTTATTTACTTAAAAAGCAGTTTGTAGAGCAGCCCTGATTTTAAGACATGAAACCATAAGAACATTTGTTGAATATAGCAAAATCAAATACAAATCAACAGTCATATTTTGAAAGCAAGAAAACAAAGTAATCAACAAACCTCATAATTTACAGACATATTTCAGAAAAAGATTCTCAAGTCTTAAAAAAAACCCTACCCTAAAGGAAATGCTTTATAAAGGAATCTATCTGTTGATAATGCTTTCCTTCCTAAGAATGTTTGTGGGGTTTTTTTTAAATTATCATTAAATGTTATTACAGTTATAAGATACTATGCGTTTTATGTGTTTTTTACACATAGTTAAGTTGATACAAAGATCCCTCATGTGAAATACACTGTTACCACTTTCCACACAGATCTATCATGGCAAGAAAGCCATACATTCTGTCAGGATTGGTGGCATCTTCCCACAAAGTTTTCTTTCCCAATAAACTTTTCTTTTAAGAGGTCTTTAAATGCTGTTAAGAGTTAGATAATACTGGGTGTTTTGGTTTTTAAACATAGTTAAAGTTACACAGAAATCCCTTGCATAAAATAGAGTTATTACCTTCCACAATGAACTACCACAGCAACAAGGTCATACATTCTGTCAGGATTGGTGGCATCTCCTGAGGTGTTAAATAAGCGAAGCTCTAAAGGAAAAACTACTCTATAAGAGAGTTTTGTGTATCGATGCAGCTGATCCATGTATTTAAATCTCTTTAAATGGAGAGCTAGAATCATAGGCAGCTTTTTCACTTTCATCCTGAAAAAAAAAACAAAAAACAAACCCCAAACCAACAGTATTTCCAATATCCAGCCAAAACATTCAGTTAATAGCAACAAACAGAAAATTCATCTCACTGAAGTCTTTAAAAAATTTTGCAAGCATTAAAAGAAGCTCAAATAACTGTCTGTTTAACAAATACTGAACATGTCCCGTGTTGCTAAAGGTGGATTTTAACAATTGAGAGAATTGAAAATGTATTTAAAATAATAAGCTATAGTATATAATAATTATGAATTGAGAGAATTGAAAATGTATTTAAAATAAGCTATAGTATATTATAATTATTATAAAAGCCATGATGAACGCACATAATAATTTAGACACAATGACCTTATAGCACAGAATTCAAATTTTAAACAACACTTCCTTATAGCTTTCCTGAGCTCCCAAAAGCAAAACCTAGATCCCACTTTGTATACACTGGAGGGATTGCAACAAAGTTGTTCCAGAGATCCTGTTCCAGTTGAATTTCTTAGTAAACTAGCAAAGTCAAACAAGGTTTTAAAACAAGCTTTTTTACACCACTTTGTTACATATGTATTACTCCAAGTTTTCCTATCAAGCCATTCACTTAACACAGCCAAGGGATACAAACAGCCCACTGTTATTCACCTTACCACACACTACCCAAGTAAGACAATGCTCTGTTCTAACACCATAATTTTGTATAAATGTTGCAGCATTATTTTATGGGAGTCAAAGCCAGAAAGTGGTAATTGAGTTTTACTGAGGGCTCACTGGTCCCTTTCCCTAGTTTGAGGTCCCGAGATCTCACATCAGTGCCTACAGATCCTCATCAGCTAACCACAGCTTGCCTGGCAGCAAACGCAGGCTTCCACTCTCAGGAAGTGGAGAGCAAAATAAAATAAATTTGCCCATACTAACAGAGCAACCAAGGTAGAGTGTTCTGCTTCTTGGCAAAGCTAATTGCCTTAGAACAGCACTGTGCTGAATTTTTCAAACCGCCTTCAGCCCCAAAAGGCAGCTCAAAAGTCTCAACAATACAGCCCAGGTTTCAGATTTCTCTAAGACCATATTTTCAGAATGTCAGGAAATACATTTGTACAAGACAATTCTTTTTCAAAAGATAGGGGGCTGAGGACAAAATCCTTGAAAACTCACCTTCCTTCCCTTTTTCTCATGAAACTGAGGCTGATAGTAACCTGTCGGAAACCCTGCTAGACTCAAGCTTTCTCCATGGCCCACAAGGGAACTAGGAAATGAAAAAAGCTAAAGAGCAGAAAGATGATAGAAGCAACTATTTCTAGGGAGAGTTAAATTTTTATTACATTACTGAGATATGGATATAATTTCTGCTCTATTTCTTTTTTCAAAATGAAAGTCCTCTTCTTATAACACAGCTGTGTTTGATAATAGGAGTTCTTTCACTGGTGAAGAAATTCAGTACACCACCTTTGCTAGTTGAGTAGACATTATCACAGATGAGCTCCATGTCACAGAAATGGAAGAAAATTATGACTCTACTGAAACTGAACTGAAGTTTCCCCAAATGAAAAGCAAAATACAAACAATAGAAGCTGTGTTTTGCCAATATGGTAGTGCCTACAGTACAGGTTTATGTCAACACAGCTTATATTGGTCAGGGATCACATTACCTCCCACACAGAAAGAGAGCTAAGGCAACAAAAAACAACAGGACAAACCTGGCTTCGCAACCCTCTAGCACACACCAACTAGTAAGCTTGGGGCAACGCGTGAAGGCAGACTGGGCAGATGGGATAGGCCAAAAGCCAGGCGCTGAATCCATGGTAAACCAAATGACCAGGACCGGTGGTGCAAACAGTAGCGCATGTCAGTGTTCCCACCCCTTCAGCTCATATAAAAGCAGTCAAACACTTTCTCAGATCATAAATACCACACAGTACACAAAATCAGGGGTTCTTCAAAGCCGTAAACAAGACTAGTAGAATTATCTGGCATACAAAAAAATGGTTTTAAACATAATGAATTTCAGGCTTCCACAGAGCTTCTGATGCTTTTCAGGAGCACTATCAAGCAGCAGTTTAGTACAACTAATTATACACTTTTAAGAAACCAGAAATGCAGTTAAAAAAAAAGTTATAAGCCTCATTCTGACTTAATCAGAAAAAAGTGCTATCAAACTTATTTTTGCAGCAGTTGGAAAAATTATTTTATTATCAAGACAAAACCAAGTTTTAAAAAGTCACATGAAATCTGTGACTTTTCATTATTACTCATAATCTTTGATTAGTCACTGGCAGTTTGTTTTAACTTGTCTTTTTAATTTATTTTTGGTCTTAAGACCATTCTTTTCCTCATTTGTAAAATAAATAATGATCAAAGAGTCCCAAAATGCATTACATGGATTCTCATTACTCATGGAAGCAGGCTCATTGAATTCAAGCAAGAGGAATGCAACCAAGTTACCCTTAAGTGGAAGAAGAGTGAGAAAAATTAAGGGAAAAAGAATGTTCTCCCCTTGCCTCATTCACACACAAGGAAATACAAGAGTATTTTCATAAAATGCATGGATTATTTTTTATCCTCCCTGAGTCTGATGTACCTTTTATGTGCTTCCTGCTTACTGCGACATTCTTCACAGTAATACTTGTACTCACTGCACAGAGTTTCTGTATTGCTGAAACCCCTGAATAAAAAAAAAATAAAAAAATGCTATAGATAGTAGTTGCTTATCTGAAATATACATAGAAACATGTACAATATAAACATATTATACTCTTAAATCTACATAAGCTAAAATTTGCTAAGTTTGTGAGCTTTTAGTTTTACTTCCTCCTTTCTAGGTAATAGATAAAAGACAAAATTTGAAAATTGAGATTTTTGCACCTACCTTAAACAATGAGTGATTGAAGTATTCTGCTCCACATCAACTGAAAGGTCTAAGAAGTCTTCATCTTTGCTGCTTATCTGCAGGAAAAAAGAACCAATAGATTATAGCTAAAATCAGTTAAACTAATTTACCTCTTTTTCAGTACTGCTTTCTATTGACAGAACACATCTTTTATTTTACAACAGCCTTTTAAAAATTGTTACATGTGGCATTTCTATTTCAGAGATTTGCTAGACCTCTGTTTCTGATTTTCAGAAAGAGGAAGAGGGAAGAGTATATAAAGCCAGTTTTCATTATATTGTGATTTCAGCTCAGCAATATTAACGCCAAGTTTCTTCTACACCTCACTCTTTTCAAAAGAATACAATCACTGGGATCATATTTAGTGCTCTCACCTCTGTTCTTTCCCTCTGATTTCCTCCAATTGAAACTTATGTATTTGCATATCATAGTGCACTTGTATTTTGAATCCTCTTCCTGGCTAGATTCATACTCTTAAATAAGCAGCAGATAGCAAACTTGTTGGTAAATGAGTGCTTGGGACTTGGTGTGTTAAGAGGCAGAATACTGCACAGCCATTTCTTACACAAATGCAAAAATAAAGATTAAAGTAAAAACCAAAATCCTAGAAGCAGAGAATAAATTCCATCTCAAATCCTGAAAAATGGCAATGGACAAAATCCACAGCTGCCCTGAAAATCAACTATGTTATTAAAAGGTTTAGGGAATAGCAATCTGCAACCTTAACTTTTGTCTGCTAGTGTTTCCTCTCTGTATTCAGAGATACTAAGTGCCACTGATGAGAACATCCTCTGCCTTTTATGACTTCTAGGTATAAAAGCAAACACTTTTAGAAAAGATGCCTGGCTGCAGCTTCTTGATTGAAAGCAGGAAAAGTTAAACAGCTACAGAAGAACTAATGTAAGTTTATCTTTAAAACATGAAATTTATGTTCCCTTTTCAACTCAGAATAAAAATAATTTGGCAAGTTGTTCTCTGATTATCAAGATATACCACACAGTTCCTAAGGGCAGTATAAATGGAGAATAAAAATAAAAATACAAGTGGTCAAGACAACTATTTTTGAGAATTAATACCACTAGGCAAATCCAAAAACTTATGAAATTAAGTTAGAAGCTTCTGTAAATATCTGTGAGAGGACTGGGGAAGTATTCCTCCCACTCCTCTGTAGCTAATCTTTCCAAGAGTAAGTGTACATGTACAAAAAATATGTTGCCATGCCAGTACACATCACATCTACTACATCATTTAGATGATGAAGTGTAACGTTTAAACTTTTAAAGAGATAACAGAACATATATGAAAACTTCCAAGATGTTTTTAGGGTGGGAAAAAAAGCGCCACCTGCATCTTCAGTGTGTGCTGCACATTTCCTGTCTTCAGGGATGGAGGTGTGTGCACAATTCTTCATAATATCCCATTGCAAACCTTTTGGAATTCTCAAACTTGAGTTTGTAACGCTAAGAACTCCGGTGGAAATCGTCTTAGCCTAGGGATTAAGAATGGCTCAGAAAAAAACCCCAAAACTAAACAGTTCTAGAAAACACTCTGCTGCAGCTGCAGCTAGGACAGATAGAATTAAGGAGTCATGTGACCAGTGTTACTCAGACATGCAATTAGTTAATTCTTCCTCTCAGTCTAATCAAAGAAAATTCCAGGAAACAATAAAGATTTCATAGGCAGCTTTATCCCACGCAGAAGCAGTAAGGGTGGGGAGGAGATGGAGAAGAGCAAAAGGATGTGTTGTACTTGGTTAAAAAGGAGATTAATACTGAAACCAGAAGTTCGCAAAAGGAATTCTTCTATTCTTAGTGATAATGTTGATAATACTGTCTTAAAGAACCTCTCTCAGGTCAGCCAGTCCATTGTGCACTTAGGATCATGAGGAACCATTAAAGGCTTTATTGGAAGAATAGATGAATGGATTTTTTTTTCCATCTATTTTGATAATTCAGAAATTTCTATTCTTAATTTTTACAGATTTTTTGGACATTAGTATTAGAACAGTACCTTTTTTCCCCAACATTAACTCATATATTTTAAATTTTAAAAAAATGAAAAATTATTAAAAAGTCATTCTCCACTCTAACCAGGCTCCCACTTTTCTGTGGAGATTCTGTTTCAAATAAACATCACTAAGTTCCTTAGACTGAAGTCGCCAATGCTATATATTTCAATCATCTATAGAATGAAAAAAGATTGACGCAGTAAGAAAACCTTATCAGTTGCAGAATCAAGCCCTGTTGCACTTAAAACACCATCTGAGTGCTCCTAATAGGAGCATCTGAATAATAGTGAAGAATTTGGGTGTTCCAGTAGTCTGGCTAAAGGGGATGGTATGTTGTTCTTGCGCCATGGACATAACCTGCACTCAGATTATATTAACAGCTCAGATGTACTCTGACAACCAATGCCACACAGAACAAAAAACTCCAAAGGCTAACACTCATGGAATCTGAATTTCTTTCTGTTTGGAATTTCACTAGCAATGTGAATCAGCTCACTGACAAAAAAGCTTTTGCAACTGTAGGCTCCCATGTGTGATAATTCAGAAACTACCTTTAAATGAAGTTGAAATAAAGGGTATGATTTATCTTGGGTTAAAAAAAAAAGAGAGAGAGAGAAAAAAAAATAGAGCATAGTTAAGGCTTCTATAGTACTTCTGTAAAAGAGATCACCGAGATTTTCCTTATTGCCTTCTCCCAGCCCAAAATAGAATTCAGTCAAAGAATTTCATGCCTTGTAGAGTCATCTGAACACAAGAGTAAGATTATCAGCTGGAGAAAAACATTATCAGTATATTTGGTGCTTTTGATCCAAGACAATTTCCTATTTTCCTCTGCAGATGTTTTTCCTCCAGAAAAGAAAATATGGCAGCTAGAAATCGGCACCTAAATTACTCAAAGAACCATGATCTACTGAAGTCTGCAGTCATACTACATACAACATTAGGAAGGTATTTTCTTCGAAATAAGAGAGAGATGGGTATCTCTAGAAGACAGAGAAAATTACATGTGAAATATATAGATTTAACCTGATTAATTA